TCCATTCCTCCCATATAAATCTCTAATGGATAACACCGCGTATTTTACACTGGGTGGGAGACTGGATTAATATTTTTCACGAAACGAGTTGGCCTTTTAAGAGTTCTCAACCGGACTTGTTGGCTAATGGGAGAAGTTATGATGAAAATAAAATCCCTCCGTCCGTGAGAACCTCAATATACTTATTTTCTAGATATGCCTCGTACTTGAGCCCGATGTCAGCTTTTAGTTGCGGTACTCCTGCTTAAATGCCTTCGTAATCCGTGTAGCACCACCAGATCGGAATTTGAAATCTATTAACTATCTTAAGCGTTTAATGTAATTTTCCCAAAAAGAGTGAGGCCTACTGACGAATGCTTCCTTCGAACGACTTACGGATATTAAAGAAAAATTTTTTATTTAACCCCCCGAAAAAAACTCGTAGGTTTTGATTATTGGACCTTTTCTATAATTCTTATGGTATCATTTAAGATGGTTTGAGTAAAGAAAGAACCCATACGATGGTAGGAGAGTCAAATCAAAACTAATATAAAAATTAATGCCGACCGAACGAGCAAGCAATTTAAAGCCGAACTCTAGTTTTCGGCACCACATTTTAGCGCATATTTAGGAATTACTTCAGAGCGGTCATAAATTTGTGTATTTCTGTTTTAAGCAGTCGCATAGTAGCCAAGCAAACCAATCAGTTAAGACAAACTGTCATAATTGCGCTAAATTCATCTTCTAATAAAGTCTTTAGCATTCGTTTTCGAGTATTTCAATGCCACTTAGCGAAAGCGTGAAATCCGGCACAAAACTTTTCCCATTCCCAATTGCCGCTGCTGTTTGCGCGAGCACAAAGGCGAATTGGTGCTAAAGAACCATCAAAAATTATCACAGATAAGATTTTCAACAAAAAATTTACAACTATTTTAAGTTGATTTGAGTGACGATCAAAAACTAGTTGGCAACTGCGCAACAGCGACACTTTCAAGAACGGCATCGACTTCGACGGCTCGACGGCTCGGCGGCTCGAACATGGCGGACGGTTGTTTATATTTTTGCTCTGTGCATATTTACGCGCTCGTAATTTACTTTTTCAATTAACGCCAAGTGTGTGCGCTAAATGGCCGATAAGCACAGCGACAGTGGATGCTGCGGACTGCCTGCTGCGCTTTGAGGAGTCGTAAATAGCATGGGCTTTTGGTAGCTACAAAAAAAATTGAGTTTTTCTTACGCAAAAAAAAAAACGAAAAACGAAAAATACAAAATTAATTAAAAATGTTTGCACTTCACTGTGAACCAATCACTAGCACTGAAATTGGCAGTGGCTGACGAACGCTTCACCAATTCACCACTGACGGCATTGCTAAGTGTTCCCATTGCCACTGCAACTGCAATTGACTGTCGTTGGCCGCAGTTGGCGCGCAATTGCAGTGGCAGCCACTTGACGGAGATTGGCGCAATTTTCGACGTTGCAGCGTAATTGCTGAAAATTAGCACTGACAGACTTTGGCTGGCTGGTTTGCTGGCTGACTTACAGGAAACCCACACACGGGCATACAAAATAGGGAGTAAATGCAAAAGTGGCAAGGCTCGAGCTTCGAGGGTGCTGGCAGGAAGATGCAATTGCTATTGCGAAATTGACAGCGCCGACAGTAGCAAGCAGCAGCAGCAACAACTTAATTATGCTGTTGGCAAATAGGCAACAATGTAGAGCCGGCAGCAGTGCAAAAACAAGAAGCGAAGGAAGAATTGATTCGAAAAAACCCAAACGCCATAGATATGTTTGCCTGATTGGCGCTTGCATTAGACTGCTAATGAATGACGAATAGGTCTGGGAAGAGCGCACTGCGACGGAAATGATAGTAAAAAGGAAATAGGCGGGTATCCTGCCTGCCAGCGATGCAGTGTTTGCTATTTGTTTTGTACTACATACGAGCACTTTTCTCTCTCCTCTTCTTCCGTGCATTGTGTGCGAGCACGACCTCATGATAACTGTGTTTCTGTCGTCCCTATAGGATGAATGTGAACAAGTGGAACACATTTTGATTTTTTATACGATGAATTAATAGAATTTGGTATAAAAACTAAGGTGAGCTGAGTTTATCTATATTCGCAAAATGTATAAAAACTTAAGATGGCGTTTTTTTTTACTTTATTCCAAGTAAAGTATGTATTGGGAGTCCGTTAGGTTTCTATTTAGCTGTCCCGTGCGACAGAGATGTTGCGAATAATAGCAAAATAGAGAGCTCTTTAGATTCTGAACTTCAATAGCGACTTTTTAACTTTTTGGTACAATATTTTCGTCACTTTTCTACTTTAATTAATCTTGTCCCGTGCGACATTTAAAAGTAAAAACTGCAAATTTGAAAAATACTTTATTTTCACTCCCTGTTATTGAACCCTTAAGAGAAGAGAACATTTTTACTAAACAAAAGTTAATTTAAAGCGACAAAAAAAAATATTTCAATTATTTTATTTAAATATGCACAACATGTAAAAAATATAATTAAAATTAGAACATTGCCTTGTACATCATAGTTTTTATTGAATTTATTTATTTTAAATTTCTGCACATCACGTTAAGTTCGTGGAATATTCTCACAGGGTGCCTCTGCGACGTCACTGAATTTGCCTGAAGGAATTGCCAAGTGTTTGTTCAAATGCGCTTGTGATATCTAGATTACATTGTTTTTCCTCGCCAATTCGAATGTGCATGTCATACTTTCTTTTTTTTTCAGCAAACGTTAATTATAATTACTCTGCGGCGAAAATTCTTTGCTCGTGCAAATTTCAAATAAGTCTTGTTGTGGAAAGGGATGTGTATGTTTAAGTAAAAAAATAAAGAGAGCGATTTTATTGTGAGTATTGCCTCTGAAATAGTTCCAAGTGAGTCTAAAGAAAAAAATTGTTTAGGCGCTAACGGCTTCTGCAAGAATTAGAGAGTCGCTTTGCTAGTAAAAAGTTAAGGTTAAGGGCCACACCTAGTGAAATGGCCTAAAAAGAGGTGATTTTTAGGAAGTGTTATTAAGAAAAAATACTCTATCAATTATTTCAAAATTTTAAGAATATATCTATTCATGTTTCAAGAATATACAGTGAAATTTTTGAAGAAAAAATTAAATAGTTTTTAAGTCATAGTCGATCTCCAACGGCGCGAAAAAAAGATCCTTCACTGCTGCAGTGATTCCGGCCTTCTCCGTGAATGAAATCTAAAAAAAATTCTCTAAAAGATAATATTGTCTGTACAATGACCAACGATAAAAAAATCAAAAATTGACAGCGTTTTAAAAAAAAAATAAGCGAATTTTACCCAAAATTTTGGTCGTTTTTGGCCAGCCAAAACTCGATGTTTTGATCAGATCAAAAATCGATAGATCATTGTACGGAGATCTATATATAGAAAATGTAAAAAAAATTCGATAGTGATCGGATCATTTGTTTTTGAGTAATCACTGCAGCAAATTCGGAGAATGCTGTTTCGAGAAAAACGCGTTCGTTTTCATTCGTAGCTAATGAGACTTTCTAGCTGCCGAGCGGCAGTTCTTTAAATTGCTATAACTCAACTATTTGAGATATCGATTTGATTTTAATATGTTATTTTTAAAGGTTTAATCTACCGAAATATGAAAAAGATCGATTTTTTTGAAATTTCACACTAAGTGTGCCCCTTAAGGTCACGATAGCTGGAAGATGCATAAAAGTAAACCTCCATAGAGTTTTTACTCCACTAGTCTTCTAGTTACTGATCATTTTTGGCTCTTTCATACCGATGAAACAAAGGATTTAAGCAGCCAATAATAACTTAAGTATTGGAAACAGTTACAGAAAGATTTTAATTTCGCTGGCAAGACAGCTTAACATCTTTACAATTTGGGCTCGTTCTTAATGCAACGTATATAAAAAACCTGATAAATTGCTCTTGGCGTATGCAAAGAGGAGATAAAATCATGTCCCTTGGATACTGTCAGCAGAGAATCCAATTGCAACTCGAGAGAAAAGCTCAGCACGAACGGGCATTCCTACCCATAGAACGCTTTCAACACTATGAGAAGCTTAGATGCATATACACACATATATATATGTAACTATGTATTTTGTATACCTTTCACGTAAATAAAATGGTAAACATATTAACTTTGGTCCGAAATGTGTAAGTACCAGAAAGAAAATAGATGGACTCATCAAAATTTATACTGTTATACCGCAGGTCTGAATGACGAGCTGAGTTGATTTAGACAAGAACCAGACTCCGTCTGTTCGTCTGTTTGTACGCAAATTTGTCTTTTAGTTTTGAGATTTGTCAACCAAATTTATTACATAGATGTACTGATATATTTAAGCTATGGTTCACTGGAATCCGCCAGATCCCACAACTATCGTATAGGACCGCTATTTCAGATTTGAAATTTTGGGTAAAAAATTTGTCAAAGAAAACCATAAAAATACGTGAAATTTGCAAACAAATGAGAACTACATTAAGTAACCCGATACAACCGATTTGTTCAGATTAGAGCTTTTTTAGGCGAAAATCCGGCAAAAACCATGCATTAACATGAAATTTTACATTTTGCACATATACATATGTACAAGCAAACATTACCACGGAAATTCAACGAGACCGAAGGACTATATAATGTAGCCGTCATACAACTGATTTATTCAGAGATGAAGTTTTTAATAAAAAAAAATCCGTAAAGAAAGAACGCACAAGCGCGCAATTTGATATTCTACATATTTACATACAAATATACATTGCTCCCGAAAATCAAGAAAATCGGTGGACCAAATTTTAACCGATTTTTTTAAGAAATAAAAATCAATATTTAATCCTAAAATTAATACCAGAAATTGGATACCGTCATGAACGGTATCAAGACTTCGGCATGACCGAAGAGCGCTCGCCTCTCTTCTTTTATATAGACTCCCTAAAGCCTAACCCCTTAACACGAACCCTCGTCCTCCAACGCAACCGCAAACATAAAATGCACATTATTCGTTAATAAGTTGTTTAAAAATGTTTTTGTGGTCGTGGAATTCTTGGGCGAAAAGCATTTCCGCGATAAAACCACAAAATGAATCGCACTGCGCATGTAAAAGACGCCGCTGACTCGGGCATATTTATTAAACAGAAAACACACAATTTACATACACACATTACAACAACACATCAACATATGTTTCTTGGCCATTGTATTTATGATATCAAGCAGCCGGTAACTTGGCACGCCGTTGCTTGGTTGGCTCCTTAAAAAACAAACAAATAAAACAAAACAACAAAACAAAACAAAAAACAAACAAACCAAACCAGTCTGTTGCCATGAGTGTAAATGCGTATTTATATTTGTCCATATGTGCATACTCAGCTACGAGTATGTAACAACAACAACAACGTCAACAAATTGCGGTATGACCGCTGCGTCGTGTTAACTGAAAAAATTCCTTTGGACCTCACCTCAACGCTTACGTTCAGTGTGGCTTTTATGTTGCCATTGTTGTGGCTGCGTTGATTGTTGTTGTTTTTTTTATTCATTATTACTTTTGCGGTTTTTTTTTTGTAATTTTTGCCAACTTTTTTTCCACCCAGGATTTTTCATAAACTTGATTTGCTTGGTTGAGGTTTTCCATTTCTTCTCATTTCACAAGAATTTGTTCACGTACAAACGTACATATTTATTTGTGTCACTCAACTTTGAAAGCATTGCGATTTGTCACATACTCGTATTTACCTGTGTTTATACATATATGTTGTATGTATGTATGTTATTTCGAAAGCTCGACTTTTTTCTGTACTTTTTTATTGAGCGGGCTTAACCGTTTCTATTGCCTTCTTCATTTAAATAGTTTGTTTATTGTTTTTATCAATACATATGCGAGGGCTGCCTTCTATATTTCACAATCAAAGATCAAAAACAAATATTAGTCATCCGAATTCGCATTAGTGTTCATTCAACCAAATGCCGATGCACTTTCGCCGCACTGATTGAGGAATTTCTAAAATCTGCTTTCTGAGCGCATCAATGTCCTCTTCAGGTGTAAAACAAAACCTTTATTTGAGACATGTCCAAACAACATAGGCAACCTTTTACTTACAAGTGCTTCGGCTCAACTTCAAACACTCATACAGTCGACTGCTATTTTCTTTCGAGCTCATACACGTAAATCCACGATTCATTACCCGTCACGATGTCATATACTCGTACGTGTTCCGAAGCACTACTATCGTATTTTTGAAGCCTTTCTCTCGAGCCTTTTGTGAGCGTTTGACAAATTGTGCGGGATCCAAAGCGAACAAATTTTTTTCACACTCACATATTCATGAAATATTGATTGTATGAGTGCACTACTGCTTATTGTTCTTTCAATCTGACGATCGGTCACATGATGATCTTGCAATATTAGTTGATTCACAGCATTAATAGTTTCCATAACAACCTTCAAAAAATTCGTCTTGAACTGATCTACAGCCTCGATTGAGTTCAGCATACCATCGGTAAGCACTGGTCCTTGATGGAGCTTCCTCGCATCGAGACTAGGTTCGGCGATGCACCGTTGCCGAGTAAAATCGCGTCGAAAGCAACTTGCGATTTTATACCATTTTTTGGCCGAGATGAATTTTTTAAGTTGCTAGAAGCAATATGTGTAAAAAATGTCAAACTATACGCGAATGTTTTCAGTTGCCAGATTGCCATACTAGGGTTGCCACATACCGAAATATAATATAAAAGGCAAACCTCGTTCGTATGTAGTATATGTATATATGTATAATTGTTGTCGCTGCATTTAAATCCATTAAAATTGTTTATTTGACTTCTTATTAGTAACAGCTAAGCACGCTTCAATTTTTATATCGCTTTCGTGATCGACTAATAACCGCTCGAAATCGTGATCGTCACATTCGGTTCACTTTTAATGTTTTAATTCTTTGTTGGCTTATTCATTTCACTACAATTGTACATATTTTCATAGAACACGCCTGCCTTGCCGTTGTGTTGTTTATGTTTTGGTTATTTCTCTTCAATGCCTGTGACTCAAATGGAATGCGTACGAAAACTCGTTTTCAGGTTCAACCTCAAATCATTTGAATTCAGATCAGTTCAATTCTCTTTGCGAGTACACACGTTGTGATGGTAGATTTTAACTTTTATTTTTATGGCTTGCCATTTGGTGGTTTTTTGTCATTTTTTAGTTATTTCTTGCGTTTTATATATATATATATATACACGTGTATATACATGAATTGGCTTTTTGGGCGCGTATCTCGTTCGGGTGTTTCGCACATTTTGTCTTTTCATTCATTATTTTATTTGCTTTTGTAAATTAATCGTGTTTTTGTTGTTCATTGATTCAACATATTTTGCATATTTTTGCAATGACTCAGCTTTGGGCCGGTTTACAAAGCTTTGGTAATAACAATATTTTCATTTACTCATTGTGCTTGTTGGCTTGTATTCTTTCTGGTTTTGAATTTACTCGTTGACGTACGGATTTTTTAACTCAAATCATGTTGATGAAGTGGTATGAGAGAGATAAAACTGAAAAGTTTAAAGTAATTTTAATATTTTCTGGACGAAAAGAGCTGGGACTGGATACAATATTCGGTCGACATAATCGCCCAGCAGAGTTGACGGTTCGGTTGATTTTAATCGATTTCACACCGCATTTACTATAGTAGATAATTAATGCGCATCCTAAGAGGCGACATTAGGTACCGAAGACGCTATTGCTGCTTTGGAACAGCGATTCGAAGAAGATCCGATTGAGTCCACCCGCCATATTTCTTCAAAAAGCAAACTATAAACCATAACAGTCATTACAGTCAATAAGGAGCGCTATAGAGCCATGAGTAGTGACTAGAAGGATCTTGATATGAGCGACCTTTGGTTCGAGCAAAGCGGCGCAACTTGTCATGCAGCCAACGAAACAAGCATTTTACTCGTCAGTCTCTTTCGGCCGGTTCGATTGCAGTAATTTTGAAAGAAACATTTAAAATGAAAAAATAGCGAAAATAAACAGATTTTAAATTAAAATTTCAATGGGTTGGTAGTTTAAAAAAAAATTGGAAAACATTTATGGCGAAACACTGTCAATGTGTGCAAGAGTGCAAAAAATAAATAACTAACGCAAAAAGAGCGTGAAATAAATAAGAAAATAAACACAACTACAACAACGAGCAAAAAAAAAAGAGGAAATATTAAAAAAAAAATTCACTTCAAATTATATTGTATTACAAGTGAATTAGCATTTCTATTTTAAAATTTTACTATTGTTGTTGTTGCTGGTGTTTTTGTTGTTGTTGTGGTTGTTGTTGTTGTACAACTAACTAAGCGGTAGATATTGAGTTCGCGTTGAGTTGCATAACGAAGCGCATGTGAAATGAATACAGGAAAATTGAAATAAAAAATAATAATAAAACAAAAACTAGAAAAAATGAAGCTGAAATAACAAAACTGGTCGCGTAGTAAAAAATTGAAAAGCAAAATGAGTGAGCTAAGTTTAAACATACGAAAATAAATCCAGAAATTATTTATTTATTATTGACCACGATACAAAAAAACAAGGTAGTTTCAGCTGACATAAAACGATTTTTGTGTTTTTGCTTTATTTTTGTGCTGCCCATTTCATTTTCTTAAAAATAAATTTTGAATTTTCTAAAATTAAAAAAAAAAAAATATTCCAAAAAATACAAAAAAATATATATAAATATAAAACGACTCACCAAAAATTCTAAGCATTTTCTGAAATCTAATGAAAATAAAATTATTTCAGGCGGCTTGGCATTTTTTTAAATTTTTTTTTTGTGATTCCACTGGTGTAAGACACCGCTGGAATTCATAAAAAATGATTTATCATAATACATTTTCAAGGCGAATTTATAGAAGGTGAAGTTGGCACATCTTATGATTGCTTGTTCTTCCTTCCAATTCAACAAATTACAAAACCAAAATAAATTGAACGATTTTCGTTTTTGCCTTTTGGAAACTATGATTACACAAACAAAATACATAGGCTTTTGTTTTTGTATTCCTGCTACTACCGTGAGTGAATTTGCCTTGACAAATATAGGAAATATTTTTATAGTGGCAATATCTTGAAATTAATATGAAAATAATATATAATTAAATGAAAATATATATAAATAAATGTCAAAAAACCTTTTTCTGTCAATTTTCAATTCATTGAAACTTCCTTCCTTTTTTCGTATCATACTACTACAACTAATAAAAAAAAGCTTTGATTTAAATGTATGAATTCTGCAGTGAGCTGTTAACCCATTTTTAGTCCTCCCATTAATTTTGACTGATGTTTGCAATTCTATTCCAATTCCAATCTTAACCAAATCCACCAAACCCATCTATCTGATAATATTTTTATATATCACGCCCGCAATGGCCGCGGGTTCGAGTCCTGGTCCACCAACATACCAACTATAGAAAACTAATTTTTCTAATTGCGGTCGCGCCCTGGTAGGGGAATGTCAATTCTGCGGAGTATATTTCTGACATAAAATAAAAGCTCCTCATAAAAAACCATCAGCAGTTCGGAGACGTCTTAGTATAAAATCAAGGCCCCTCTATTCGTTGGAAAACCCTCAAGGAAAGTAGAAGCTCGGCCTGCAATTGAAGAACAGATAGTGCCAGATACATACATACAAGCTCATGTGGCTTTAATAAGAGAGAAATTTCCACGCAGAGTAATCTCCCGTCCCTTCATACATACATACAGTATTGGGCAAAACTAAAGCACTCCACTAGTGCAATTTTTGGTAGTGCTATTTAGTTTTTAAATAAATTAATTGGAAATTTGGTATGGGGGTTATAATAATGGCCAGAAATATGGAAATTAGTGCAAAATATTCAATTAACAGATCAATCATACCACGGCTAAAATAAAAAAAATCGATAAAGTGGTAGTGTGGCAACCGTACATACGTCTACATACCGGAGGAAGACCACGGAAAACCTCGTAACGAGTTGATCTATTGATCAAAAAAGCATTCAACACCACCAAGCAGTCTCTTGTAGCCCACCTAAGAAAATGTTATAAGCTAGCGAAAGAAAAATTAGGAGACGAGCAGTTGAAGCACGATTAGTCAGTCCGCGGCCGGCAAAGAAACCAGCCATTTCACTAAAAAATAGATAAGCCAGCTTAGAACTGGAAGACTGTTTTATTTCCGGATGAGTTGAAGAACAATATGAAAGTATCGATAGTATGAGACGTGTAAGAAGACCGAAAGGCCAGACACTCAATCCCACCAAGTATTGCATGGCAACCACCAAATACGGCCGTGGTAATGTAATGGTCTGGGGTTGTTTCCCTGGGCAAGATATTGGACCAATTCATCAAATAATAGGAATAACGGATCATTTCATGTATACCGACATTTAAGAAAATGTGATGCTGCAATGATATGCTGAATAGGAGAAAGAAAAGTTTCCAGCAGACCAACGATTCGAAACATACCTCGAACGTTTTAAAGTGGCCTGCCTATTGTGAAGTTGTGAGAGATCGTAAATATGAAAAGTAATAGGGAATACTCTAGAATCAAGGACGAGTTGTTCAATGCTGTAAAATTCGGCCCTCCCAAGCCCAAATCTCACAATATTATCGATAATTTGATATCTTGAATGCTTTAAAGATGCGCTTCAGTCATCCAATGTAAGGGGTTCGCTATAAAATATTGGGCTCTCTCTGTAAACTCTTTTATGTTAAGCTTTTCAAATTAAAAATATATGCAAAAAGTATATTGCTTTATAAAAAATCAATATATCAGGTGTACAACTTTGCTTCCGCCGTTTTCCGATAGGTTGTTGTACCGGCTGAGGCTGGTTGAAATACATAGATGATAATGCCTCTAAAGTGAGTGTGGACAGTGCCTAACGAATTGTCATCGCCGTTTCAGTGACAGTTGTTCTTGTTTTCGCTCGAAAATGTTTCTGTTACAATTCGAAAAAAATGCAGCTGAAGCGCATCGAATGCCCTCAGAAACTTACGGTGATGGTGCTCTGAGTGAAAGAACGCGTCGGGAGTAGTTTCAACGTTTTAAAAATGGTGATTCCGATGTCGAAGACAAACATGGTGGTGGAAGAGAAAAAAACCTTCAAAGATGACAGCATTGTTTGATGAAGATTCGTGCCAAACCCAAGAACAGCTTGCCGAATCGTAGGGAGTGAGTCAGCAAGCCATTTCAAAACGACTCAAGGCCCTGGGCCTAAAAAGAAAAGCGGCCACAATATCAAGAGCGACATGACAAAGTCATCCTCCAACACGACAATGCTCCGCCTCACGTCGCAAAAGTGGTCAAAAAGTACCTGGAAACGCTGAAATGGGAAGTCTTGCCCCACCCGCCGTATTTCCCAGATGTCGCTCCTTCTGACTTTCACCCATTCCGTTCGATGGCACACGGCCTGGCAGATCAACATTTTCAATCCTTCGAAAAATTGGAAAAATCGATTGCTTCATGGATAACGTCAAAAGAGGACTCCTTTTTTCGAGCCGGGGTCCGAAAATTGCCGGAAAGATTGGAGAAAGTTGTCGCTAGCGAAGGACAAAACTTTGAATAATATATCTGTAAGCACTTTTTCGCAATAAAGCTTTTAATTTTGAAAAAAAAAACGGCGGAAGCAAAGTTGTACACCTAATAAAATACAAAAAAAATTAATATCGAATTAATTTAGTCAAAGATAACATAAGAAATCTCTTTTTTTACTCAAATATTATTTAATCTTCTAATACTTCTTTACTGGCGGCACTTGAAGCGAGATTTTATCCAAGGCGTGTTCTCCAATTGTCCTCCATTATTCGTTTATTTCTGTTTTTCAAATATAATACCTGTCATTTAATTAATACAACAAATTAGCCGATTGTGAAAAGTGTTACAAGAAGAAGCAGAAGAAGAAGTATGACTAAGAATAAGAATAAGAATAAGAAACGCGCGTCTTTAATATCAAGGCGATTGCGAGAAGAAAGAAATCAAAATTCCAATTTCAAATCTGGGTAAATAAGGCCATGCACCTCGAGAGCAAATTAAGAAAAAAAAATGCGGCATCGGCTATAAGTACAACAGCAACAACAACAACGGCTACAACACGTTTAACCAATACCAATAACAACAAATGGCAAGAAACTAGTAACGAGAACAAGCGTGACTCCAACAAGAAAAGTGGCTAAGTAAGCCAGGCACATACTCACATACACACACACACACACAAACACTCACATTCCCACCTATTCTTATTGGAATGAACAACATGATAAAAGGAGAAAAAAACCCAAACACTTTATCGTGGTTTATAGTGACCAAGAAGCAGCAGGCCGTCTCACCAGTTGACTTCGGCCAACTGGCCAAACACCCCAGCAACGGCAGCGGCAGCGGCGGCAGCAGAGGCAGCAGAGTTAGAGCTTCTCGCAGTCAAGATGCTAATAAAGCAGGGCGCGGCAGAGTAGCGTCGATTAGCAACCTCAATTGTGACTGCGGAATTCTTACTCATCGATAAGCGCTGGCGGCCGGGGACCCATTGAAAACGAAAGAAAATCGAAGACAAAGAAACTGAAACGAACCAAAAACAAAAATTACAATAACAAGAAAAATTAACGCAAAAGTTGTTGGTATTTTGTATGAAGGAAAAAAACAACAATAACAAGCAGGTAGAGTGCTTAGGCAGACTAAGTTGAGACCTGGGACCGCATAGCAGATATCCGACTATCGCGGAATTACGTAGGTAAGGGTCGTTTGTACATATTTCAAGTCAGATAAGAGGTTATCAGCCAATCGTGTATCAAAATAAGTTAAAGATCTATTTTTAAGAAAACGGCCTCTTTCTAGGCATGACGTCACATGGCTTTTACTTTATAGCCCCACTTGAAGAGTTCAATGCAGGTTTCGCTAAAGACATTTTATGGCAAGTGGACGTAGTGTTTTTGCGATTTCGGATGATAATAGGAACGGATAGGGATGTGAAGGGAAACCCTCTATTTTATTTAGCTTGCCCTATCATTTTTGGAACTACAATACATATATACTGTAAATCTAACTATTTCGATTGTTTATTGTTAGCACAAACAACCGTTAGTGCCCTTAAAACGGTTTAATGTTGTGTACTCAATCGGGTATCTAAGTAAAATAAACGAAAGAAGACATTTGCCGGCCTCTACTGGTCAAGTAGACACCTACTTTAGAAATTAAGCAGTGAAAAAAAGAAAGAGTGAAAAAAAAATATCTTTGAAACCGAGTCAAACAATCCGGTTCACAGCGTCGACGCTGGCTTCAACACTTACAGCGACGCTGCAGTAAGCAACAACAGCGGCTGAGCTGTTGTAGGAGCAGCAAGAAACCAACCAAAAACCGGCTCTTGCATGTCGAGGTTGGCACCGGCAGAAGTAAGTATACAAACAAACACACACATATACAAGTACGTATACAGACTTTTAGGTGCGCTCGTATCTCGTCTTCTGCTGCTCCTTTAACGCGCCACAAAGGAAATTCAAGTACACAGGAACTCTATAGCCGCTGTCGCAGAACGAACGCATCTTCAATAGCGAGATGCAAGACGCAAGTTTTAAAAATAGAACCCATGACAAACCGAGTTTGAGCAGCACGCTGAGTTTAGGACAGAGAAAGCGGACAAACAGGCAGGTAGGCGAACGCATGCACATACATAGCTTTGTGTTTATGTACGTGTATGTGTGTGTAGCCATTCTGCCACGCTTGAAACCTTACAAACAAACCGACAGAGAAGGCAAAGGTACGTTAAAAACCAAATACTGCTGGCACAGGCTGAGACACACAGACAAACAGACACACTCGTATGTGCATACACATTTGTACAAACATACATTGTAGGTGTTATTGTTGTTTTTTACATATGATCCTCCACGCTAAATAAGATCGAAAGAGCAGAACCGCAGAAGGAGAAGGCAAAAAAAGTTGTTTTCACAAAACTAAATTGAATAAAAGTAAAACCACTTTTGTAACGAATGGAATGGAGACGAGTGAAGCGAAATCAACGGAACGGAGGGAGGCTGTGTCTCTTACAAGCCTTGAGGAGCCGGTAGGAGCGGTTTTATTGGGCAAAGGAAGCACAAGTAAGCCAAGCAAAGTTAGAGGCAAAGTAAAGACAAAGTCGAAGTTCAAGTTGATGTTAAAGTTGGAAATCTGCAGCGGCAAGTTTGTCGTCAGTCGTTTGTGTCAGAGCCAAGTTTTGAAACGCCAAGCTTCAGGGATTCGAGTAAGAACCTAAAATGCTCCAACCAACAACCACACTGCGGCACAACGCAAGTGCAGTGTAAACAAAAACAAACAATCTTGTAAACATGTATGGAGTACATCTATATAAATGTATGTACTCGTGTGTGTATGTCAGTGCATGTGTGCTTAAAATCAAACAGAGAAGTTTTCAAGTGGCAAGCCACCGAACACGCAAGCTCCCGCCAGTTACCCCAGCACAAGGCAATAAATGCACTCAACAATAAAAGACCACAAAACTTGAAGCTGCAGACGACGAAACTGAAACTCAGCAAACCTTGCGGGACACGAAAGTTGAAAAAATTTTAAAAAATAATAAAAATGAAAGGCAATAGAGAAATATTCAAAATCAAATACACCTAAAGCAAGCAGCAGGGAGCCGTTCTTTCTTTTCTTTGCTTATTTCTTCCTGCTTGTTGGAAAGTGTATAAAACAACATACATACATACATACATACATATATACCTATGTAAGTATAAGCTCTTTCATCTTAATCTTCATGCAACCCTCTCTTGTTGGCAGCGAGTAGTCCCGTATTTATTTAGCTTTAACTGACCTTTCCCTACAGCTGAACTAGCAGCATTGTGCTCTGTGCCGTAACCTGCCTTGCTGCTCGGAAGGCTGCACTGACTTGTCATAACCGAAGATATTTTAATGCCAAAAGCCACCAGTGGCTTCATCAGCTGGATAATGTGCTTTGAAAAAGTCAAATTCGTGGCTTCTTCGAGTTGGGCATCTAATAAGGATGACTCTCAGGCTGCTGGTGAATTAAAGCTTAAGCTAAAGCCGACGAAAACAGGCTTCCCATCGAAAGAATGTCTTCAAAAAATTTGGCAGATTCATAATTTGTTCTTCTAACTCAGTCAACGAAGGAATCTTAAGGGGACGTGATCTTGAACTGGATATCTTTCTCTATATCTGCTTCTGCCAATGAAGACTATTAAAGCGTGAGCTTTCGGAAAACCATTATCCAGAAAACTTTTAGCGGCATCCCATCGGAAGCTAAACTTTGAGAAAGAATTTGGAAGCGACTTACAGAGCTCGACTTTTATTTGTTGAGAGATTCTACATTTGCATTACATAAATACTCGGAAGTGGCAGAGCCCGCTAATCTTGGCTTTCAATAAAGGTTGTTTTCTCAGACGTACGCTTTGTAACAATGCAATACTTTTTTTACGCGCTACGTCCAATATTCGCCCAGCAAAATTGGTAATACGAGCAACATGGATGGACGAGCTAGCATGGAACAGTTTAGCACACCCTAGATACCGCGCAGCGAAGATACGTTTGCTGCTGTGGAGAAGGGTATAGAAGAAGATGGGAATGAGTACATCTGCCAAAGAGCGCAACATCCACTTTATGAAAGATTTTACAGAAGGGTCTAGGTTTACGGGGTTACAAAGTCCAATTCGAGCATCCATGGCGAGATGGCCCTTGATACCGATTTTCATAAGAAGTTACTGTTGTTGCATTTGGAGTTCACTGTGGGTTCCGCTCCACATTTCTTCAATAACCGTTACAGTCAATGGGAAATGCTATATAACCATGATTAATGACTTCTACGTGCCGGAATTGAAGAATTTTGATGTGGGGGACCTTTGCTTCCAACAAGACGACGCTACATGCTACAGAACCAACAAAATAATTCAATTTGGGCCTGTAGCGTGGCCTCCAAGGTCGTGCGATTAGAACACCGCTGGACTAATTTTTGTGAGGTTATGTGAAGTCGCTTATCTACACAGATACTCGTACGTCTGGGACGATTGACGTCTTGCTAAAATAATAATTGGCGCGTTATTACTGACATTGCTGCAAATATTGGCCATAACATTGAATTGTATGCGTTGTATCTTCCTTTCAAAACCATACCTTCCTAAAAAACCCTTTATTTTTTAAAACTTTATTTAGACCGAAATTACGTGGAGACGTTTCGTTTATTTCCCATGGGTCTTTGTTGTTGTTGTTGTATTATAATTCCCACAATCAGACTATTTCATTGATATCATGTTTTTGAACTCTGTTTTCAGAGTATGTTGCCTTATCAGCCTATCACATGTCCTCTATTGTACATTTAGCGTTGTTTCTTTTTTGCTGTCGTAGTAACTTCATTATAATGAAGAGTCTTTTCATATGCTCTAGTCACTATCATATCAGTTTCTATGACAATAGATCTAATCTAAAAACTCCCACGAATGGACATGCATCAGGAAGCGAGAGAAAATAACAACCAAGTGTTCCCACACAATTCAAAAACGTACAATTCAGATTACGAACGGCTGAGCAAGCAACCCTGCTCTCAAATATCTATGAATACTGTGTCCAGCGGCCAGCATATTGACCAGCAAGGAAAAAAAAACAAAAGCAATGCACGGCCATGTTTACCAACTAGGAAATTAGCAGACCATTGAGACAGAAGAGCAATTCAGAATTTCAAACAAAGCAAATGGCATGTGAAGCGCCGAAAATAATTCTGAAATATTTTAAATGTATTTGCATTGTACTTCCTTTGTTTCTTTCTTTCACTTGTTCTAGCAGTTCTAGCATATTTATTTTCAAAACACACAGTGTTACGAGGATATTACACACGCACAGGATGGACAGGTTGCTTAGCACGATGGGATATAAATTTTTTCCAGTTGCATTTGTTGTATTTATATATGTACTCTTTGTTTTTTGATAAAAACGAAATTCAAAAAAAAAAAAAATTTTTCTTTTTTTATTGCTTCTTTTACCTGTTTCGTTGATCGCCGGTGGAGTCGTAAACGCGTGATGATTGATATTCAGCCTTCACAACGTGGCGTGGCAATGCGTGGTTGGATATCAAAAAGTACTTTTTTAGTACGACAAAATGTGTATACAAAATTTCGATTTTTAATCCAATTGCGTCGACCGTGATTTTAGAAAAATCAAATAAATTCGGATACGCTGGTTTCCGCCGTGACTGGCTGTTTTATTTAATTAATTATTGTTGTTGTTGATTTTTCGATTTTCTATTTGAAAAGGTAGGGTTTTCAACACAAAACAAATTGAAGTAACTGATATTTTTATTTAGTAAAAATAATATTTAATTTCTGTATTTTTTCCACTCGATTTTTCACTGTAACCATCAATATTTTTTCAATTAAATTCTAATTCGCTACACATATACAATATGTATGTATGTTATTCAGTTATTTTTATCGTTATATATATTTTGTATCTGAATTTATTTTTACTTTCTTTTTATTATTTACAATAATATTTTTTTTATTATATTTTTTAGCACGGGGAAAAGTTCGTAATGCTAATATTTATTATTTTAAACACTTTGAAATTTTCCAATACTTTGCAAACACTCACTACCTAGCACTCGACACGTTTTAACTTGGTCGTGTGACTTGTAAGACCAATATTGAAACTTCGTTACATCAATACGCACACACATGGGATATATGTAAGCTTACAAGGGAACTGTGTTGCTGCTTCAACGCACACATACACATTTATACACTTCAAACGCACAGATGCAGATTCGAATATTCACTTCTACCCATAAAACTTGGCTTAGAGAGGCTGGCAGCGAGGTGGGGCGAAAGACGCGTAGCGTTTGGTTTTTAAATTAGTATTCAGCTTTTCTGGCTGAAAACGCGTCTGATATGAAACCTTTTATTCATAAATTATTTCGAAACTTTTATTGAATTTTATTAAATATTTTGTATACCTTTTTTTTAGTATTTTTCAAACAAACAGTTTTTGGTTGCTTACTCACTTTAAGCATCACCACAATTAATTGTTTCTCAATTTCTTGCAGAGCGATTTCCAACGATAACACTTGAAATATTATTATAAAGGCATAAAAACAAGCGTATTTAATTCTTAGTATTTCTCACTATTGTGGCTTTAAAATTTTTTTAAATACGAGTACACATTTCTTAAAGACACAATAAAAATTTTGAATTCCTTTTGCTAAATTTACTACTCATTACTTGTTTCTATTCTAAACTAACGTTGGTCCAATCGCTAGTCGACCGCACTAGTATATTCGAAAACACATCCAGCAACGACGCCGTCCCAAAGAAAACTACTTTAAAAACTTGTTTTCAGTTGCTTGGCAAGCGGCAGTCGAAACTCGCTACCATAGCCACGCTCACTACTCACGAATAATTCAATCCGTCAGATAAAATTTAAACACGCTTACTTACATTCTCATGCACCAGTACAAACGTACACACATACACCAACACAACAACAGCAACAACAACACAAGCCAAACAAAACAACAACAATTTCTATACAGCAACATTTTTACTCTATCAATTCAAAGCCGTTCACCAGTCGAACGCATACAAAGGCAAGTGCAGTGCGCGCGATACACGAGCAGCTATGTACATATGTATGCATCATTCACACACACACACACATGCATGCATACATAGGCGTAAATGAGTGACTCTCTGGCAGTCAGCAAGTGGTTGTGGCAGTTGCATATGCCGCAAGTGCCACTGCCAGTTTTGTTTTGATTCGATCTTCCAATGAATTTTTAAAATATTAATTAACATGCATACCAACGGGCAGAATTTTTGAAACAAAGAAGGAGGAGAGCAAGGTTTATGAGAAATTAATGCAATGCCAATAAAGCAAAGGAATTTGAAAGATTGATTTATAGTAATTGGAAAATTTTTTGTTTAGGAAAAATTTAAGCCTCAATAATACGTCTACTTCGTCAAATGCTTAATCTGTTCAAACCTTAAAAAGACTTCGGAACTTCAGTTGAATGACAACCCTATTCAAAATTACGTAACTAAGAAAAGTTTTAAATCAAAACATCAAATAGTCTTTTCTAAATTCGAGTGCCTTAATCGCTTCTTTTTAATCCTTGTTTTGTTTCAAAGTTTATATTATAAACTTACACAGAATATTCAATACAGATATTAAAAGTTTTTAAATGCATTTTTGTTTTGAACTATTTAAGCATTTTTTTGTAATTTTTCACTATAAATTTCTTATATTCCTTATATTGATTTTTGTTTAAAATAGATTTTATACTTCAAACTGGACATATAACATATCTGTCTCCATGCATTTAACGTTAGTCCATGCAGTTAACGTTACGTTAACAGCAGAGCCCAACAGATGTTAACTGCTTAACAGCGGAAATCTAAAATCAACGAAGAAGCATATGAAAAGTAATTCACGTTAATCAAAATAGCAGCACAAGGGAAGTGAGTAAATTTAAAAAAAAAAAAATACGCTCACGCTCCCACAACAATAAGAAGGGTTTATTACAAACATGCTTTGCTGCAATTTCATCCCACGCCTTATTATTGCCGGCGAAAATTTGCGCATGTGCCAACCGAATTTGTAATCAAATAGAAACACCACAACTCCCTGTGCAACAAAAGAACATTGAAAATCACTTTTGGCAAAGCTATCTCGTGGCATATACACAAACACACTTAACTGCATGAACAAATATGAACTGATACCATCGTACTTGGAAGCAAGCAGACTGATTTGTTTTGCCGGCATTTTTAGGTTATTTTTTTATTTATTTTCACATTTTCCGCCGGTATCCTTTCGCTCTGGCCACACAGCCAAGCGCCAACGGAAGTGTTTTTGCTTAATTGTGTGCTGGTTGCTGATTGGGCTCGTTGCGCTTTTGTGTCGTCTGTGCAAACAAATTCACAGTTGGCATTTGAAAGGCTGACTTGACTGCCCACAGTTTTGGCTTTATTTCCCTTTAGAAATATACATACCCACATGAACTTGTCTATATGGGCATTAATATGTTATTTGTAGTCATAAATATTGATTATGAATTGGTTGAACGAAGAAAAGACAGTTAAAATAAATTGCATTCCCCCATTGCGGCATAGGCGGTGGATGGCAGCCATTTCTGCACTTGAACTCACTTAAATATTTAAACTATGTGTAAATGATAGAATTTAGCAATCTATGAACAGTACAATCAATATTTAAATATCACTTTTCTCTATTTTGCACAAATATTAAGTTGTTTCTCAATTTTGTCACAAGCAAACTTAAATGTCAAACAGATCCCCGCCATGATTTGACGTCGCTGTAAAACTACCGTTTGTTTCATGGTGCAGAGTTGTTTTTATATTCTTCGTCGTAGCTTTCTTACGAATAACAGAGTTTCTAATGCATTTCCGCTGTAGTTTTTGAATTTAAAGAAATTATTTAAATTAAATTTAAAAATTTGATTTTCGTTGGGAAATTAGTAAGGTCTATTAGGGAACACGACTCAATAATTTGGAGTCCGAGGTATCACATATTCTCTGATAAGATCGAATCTATTCGAAAACAATTTCTCCTATTTGCCTTGAGAAATTTGCATTCGGACTGTCAAGATAATATTTTCCCTTACAAAAGTCGTCTGAAATTTATTAACCACCCCGCTTTTGCCAGCCGTAGAGCAATGTTTGGTGCGTTTTGCTTCTTCTGATTTCAACTCTCATTCTGATGAAAGTTTGTTCTGTAGCTGATCTGTTTTAAGGTTCCTTTTTAAAAAATGTTCCTTCTGTACATCATACCAACTGTGCCCACATGAACATGGTGGGCGCGACTTAGGAAACCATTTAGCAAAGTGATTCGAGAAGAAATAAAGGTTTAACTCAAGGCTGCATCGTAATGATAAATTTAACGTTAATCGAAAAATTTCTATCATTTGTTTTGAAACGCTTGGAGATATTAATGTTATGCAGTTATCAGAATAAATTTATATTCTTTTTTACCCGAAACGAAAATCCTCTCGTTAATGACAAAAACTTAACAGATAATGTTACTCGTTAAAAATGAAGTGTCCTGTTAATTCATCGCAAGCAGCTGTTTTAAATTAACGTCAACGACGAGTTTATGCGGTGTCAACGTTAACGATTTCATTTCGTTGAGTTAATTTTTCTTGTTAGCGAAACGAACTGAGATCGTTGGGTTAGATAAGCATCTCTGGTTTAAATTAAATCTATACTTCTCCGTCATCGGCGTTTTTCAATATCCCTATTTCCAACATATTGTGAACGGCCTAAGTTCCTCTAATATAACTTCAACTTACGTCTATGAAGAGTTATAAGTAAATTAAAAAATAAAAACAAATTTAAAAAAAAGGAATTTTTTGCTCCTTTCTTGTATGAACCTATGTGCACACCTTTGTTTGAATTTATTTACATGTGAAATTCTTAGCATTAGTATATGTATATATAATATATGTGTGTAGTCCCATTATTTTAGAAAATCCATAAATGCTTAAAGCAACTACTGAAGTTATCTATGTATGTAAGTTTGAAAGTATATGACTGTAGATATGTTTACACAAAAATTTGTCTTTTTACTTTATTTCAAACTCTTTGCTTTTGTTTTAATGCAGAGTTGACAACTACAGCAAACAAAGGCATTTGCATAAACAGGGTGTCTCGAGTTGGTAAATGAGAAAAATTGTGATTACTGATTAATCAAATATTATGTTTGGCTCTAATATTTTTATCATTAACGGTTTCAAGTCAATGTTAATCAATTAATAGCCCACGTCGGTGAGATGAAGGGCAGTGACAATTGTTACTTGGCAAAAAGCAAGAGAGCAAAATTTTGACAATTCATTTCTAACCAATTCTTAATGACATTTCTCCCCGAACAGAGCTAATATAAGACAATCAGCCGTGTTCGTAGTAAAAATTGATTTCTAATGCATGTAAAATTTTAAATAGAGCTTGATTTTTGCTCGAAACTACAAACGAAACTTAACTAAAGAATGCTTGATTACTCTCCCGACACCCTTTATATCCAGAATGCAAAAAGGTGTCAGACATGTTGTTGCTATACTACAACAATAGTAAAGTGTTAAAGTTATTTCTTTATATTTTGATTCTTATTTACATATGTACATACCTACATACTTACATACATATGTATAATATATACATAAGTACATTTTTCCTTTATTTGAATTTATTTATTTTCCACAGACATTTAACATTCATTGTCAGTCTTCATTAAAATTGCAAAACGTACCAACTGTTGACGACAAGAACGACTACAACAACCCACATCAGCAACAGCGGGCAACACGTTAACCATACCAACAACAACAATGTCGTCAACAATATATGAACCAATGTTGAAGACTACGACAAATGGCTGCAATGTTTACCCAACAATTGACGCTGCCCGACGGCACGGCGGCGGGTGGCAGTGCTGGGCTTGGTGTGCGGGTATGCAGAACTATTGATGGTGTTGAAACCAAAGAAAAGAAAAAAAGCAATCACGAACTCATTTTAAACTCGTTAATTCAAAAAGTATTTCTTAAGCGAGGGCTAAGGTAAATAAAGGAAATGAAGGTTTTAAAATTACATTCGCAGGATGTTGATAATGAAGTGTGCGAAATTGTTCTTCGGCGCAGATGTGATTTGCATGCCGATACTAGTGACGGGAATGGTAATGAATTTTATTATTTTTAGATACTACGTGTAGACTTTCAAGGATTTTGAAGTTTAACTTGGAAACAATCTAGTGGGAAATCCCAGAGAAAATCGATTTTTTCACTAAAAAGTCACCCCTTCGGTTATGCTTCTATAAATTACGATTAAAAACGTAAATATTAATTTAAAGTTTAAATTAAAAAGTATAGAAAGTTGCACAAGTACTGCATACATATGTATGTACATGCTCGTACAAGGACATGGTTGATGTCCAGCTTCAATTAATTAAAAGTTTCCCTTTTGTGATACGCAGAGTCAACTTCTGGTTGCGACAGTAGCTTTAACTTTTGTACAAAAACAAACAAAAAACATAAGGTAAAATAAAATAATAAAAGCGAATTACAGAAAATTTGGAGGCCGGTGCAAACTCTTGTAGAACTCAAAGTTGATCTATCAGCTGATGTCCAAATTGTACTGAATTTATTCTCATCCATGCTGAATGGTAGTGAAAAGGGACCCCCACAATATTTCCTCGTCCGGCTATGAAGAAGTTCAAATTGTGAAAAAAACAAAGCGGCGGTGGGATGGATTATTCGCTGAGCTACTCAAATGCGGTGTCGGGTTTGCTAAAACAGGGTAGGATGAAAATATTCCCATGATGGGAATCTAATTGTGCTCTGCCCAATCCGCAAGAAGGGCGAATTGTGTGAAAGACTAGAAGCGGCCTCCATTCCGCTTTTTTCTGAATTTGGAAACCTCGCAAAACTTACACGGCTGTATAAATTGACATAGACATTATACAGCTAGGAAGCTCAGCGTTCAGGTCTGGAAAAGAAAGGTCCCCTCTCGAAAAACAAATACAAAAAGAGGAAGAGCAAAACCTACGCAATAATATAAAATGAAATGAGTAAAACAAAATTAAATAAAATAGAAAAAAAATCATTGCTAAATTAAATTTCCATTAAAAGAACTAAGGATGTGAAAAATATTTAGCTAAACGTGGCGAGTATCTATTGGAAAAAGAAGTAAGTTCCATTAATAGAATCGGATATACGTATATACATATATGCGGTTTTTTTTCTTTAGAATAAGTGTACACATAATTTTCTTAGTTGTTGTTAACTCAACAACAAAATAGTCAACGCTTACAATCTGAAATGGATAACCAGCTATGCATGTATGCAGGAAGTATATGTATGTACATACGTGTCTGTGTGAATATTCAAAACATGTATCAAAAAAATTTTTTATCTTTTTATTATAATTTTTTTTTTTTTAACGCAATACTAAAAACAAAACTCGGCGCAGTACCAACGCTCTTGTGTTTTTGTGGCATGACAATTGACAGCGAGTGACATATCGATTTCTGTTCAAATAGCCAATTTTATCAGTCATACTAACTCTAGTCCTTTTTCAAGCATCCACTTTCAATTGACACTTGTGACATTTCCGTCTGCTGCTCATTTCATGTGCGAATGTGTGTATTGTACAAACGTACGTGTATGTACATACGATATCTGAGCATAGGAGTTTATATTTAAGTGTTTCAGTATGTGCATTTGTTTGAAGTGCATGATATTTTTCGCGAGAAAATGTACCTACATACATACCTCCAATAGCTGAAGGATAGTGCATAGATACTTGCGTGTATAAATCATTTATATATCAATATATATATATAGATATATACAACCATAGAAATATTGTAGTTGTGGAAATTGCCTTACCAAACCACTCAAGCGAAAATTTCGAAAATTGTTGAGCAAAATTGTTACATTTTCTTTTGTTCCCCTTCGTTTTATGAAAAAAAAATTATTGTATTTCAAAGAGCACTTGACAAACGGAGCGCCGTCGCTTTTATTTACAAATAGACTATCGGTATACAAAAATATCATTTCTTTGTATTAAATAGAAGTTTATGAAATGAAACCCACTACATTTTGCTTCTAAACGATTTCGATATGGTGGCAGCCTCACACTATTTTCGACGGAAACACTTTTATAAATAACCTTTATATTTGTTAGAACATAACTTTAATGAAATCGTTTCGTTGAAATCATACCATTATTTCCGGCTGCATCCGTATGCCAAGCTAACATAGTTTCTTCTTTTGCTCCACTTTCGGTGACTAAAAGCTGCTGTTACTGTTACGTCACGTAACGTAAACAAACGTTACCTTACCATCATATGTTTCGTTTGACAAATCAACAAATGTCAACAAATGTCAAATAAGACATCCTCAATATAAACACAACACACTCTATTGCATTTTTCAAGTGAAACATTCGAATTCTGATAAAACCACGCCACAATGGTCAAGAAAATTCTAATGGTTTGCTTAGGTACGTATAAAACGTGTTTATGTGTAAATATTAAAAAAAATAGATTCACTATAGGTAATATCTGCCGGTCACCTATTGCCGAAGCAGTTATGATTGAAACCATCGAAAAAGCCGGCACATCCGCCGAATGGAAGGTTGATTCCGCGGCTATTGGTGATTGGCATCGTGGCAATCCACCAGATCATCGTGCACTGAGCACAATGACTAAACACAATATTAAATACAACAATAAGGCAAGGCAAATTAAAAAACAAGATTTTCACGATTTCGACTACATTTTCGGTATGGACGAGGAAAATATGAGTGACTTGCGTTCGCTGGCTCCACCTAGCTCGAAGGCTAAGTTATTAATGCTCGGCGATTTTGGCTTGGACAAGGGTGATCGCATTATCGTAGATCCTTATTATGTAAGTAGAAGTTTGTCTAGTTATACTCAATAAAAATATACTTTAGGGCCTTCGTAAATATTTGTGTTTTTCTTATCCATTTAGCAACGTGGAGATGCCGGTTTTGAAAAAGCTTATCAGCAGTGTGTGGTTGCCTGCGCTGCGTTTTATGAACAAGCTGTTGCGGGTAAAATTTAATCTAGAAATACCCCTTTATACATCCCGAATTTAGTTGTTAATGTAATGGAATGAAGTAATATACTTCGCCTCTCATGTTAAGAACAAATCAGCTGATATAAGTTATACATATATATATGTACATAGTAAAATATATTTAAAGCGCAACAAATACATGTATAATAAAATTGCGAAATTAAACTTTTTTCTCTTAAGAATAGAGTAAAAGCAAGAAGAAATTGTTGTGATTGTGCCAAGCATTTATGTATACAACATAGTGGATGCAGGTGCGCAATTTTGTGAATTATTTTAATATAAATAAAAAATATGAGTAGTATGCCAACTAGGTGTCAAAAATCAAATATAAATAAGCTCTTTAAATTTAAAGAAGTTGAGTTCACATCACCGAATAGTTTTATCTCAATAAGTAAAACTCAAGTGCAGACTTAAATTTAAGCCCACAAATTTTTGCTTAAACAATTTCAAAAATAATATTTTGTAACCTTGCACTTTGTTTCATATACATATTAAAAAGTATTCTATTTTTCTATATTTTCTGGAAAATATACCACTATTGCAATTCAATTTCTTGTCTGTGCTCATTAAATTTACGTGAAAAAAACAACAAAATACACAAAAATTGTGTTATGTAAGTTTTAGCTTTTATATACCGAAAAACGAATTTGTATTTCAATGTTACTACTAAATATTAAATAACTTGCAGATATTAGAAGTTTAAATAATAGAATCTTAATAAATATGAAGCCCTTGAAAATCCTGTTCGTTTGCATTGGTAAGTACCAAAATATGGCATTTAAAAGTTTAACGCACTGCGAAAAGCTGCTTTCAATATTCAGGCAACACCTGTCGTTCGCCAATGGCGGAAAGTGTAATGAAGCATTGGGTGAAGGAGTATGATCTCAACTGGGAGGTGGACAGCGCTGGATTGCGATTGTGGAATGTCGGACGTAAACCAGATGAACGTTGCATTAAAGTATTGGAAGAGAATGGCTTAGTGACAGATCATATTGGCCGACAGGTGTGTCTTAATCACTGCTATTTTTTTAGGGAACAATATACTAATATACTTTACAGATATCGCCAATCGATTTCTACAAATATGACTACATTTTGGCCATGGATGAGCACAATATGAGTGAGCTACAAGAACTCGCTGGTGATCCCAGTCATCAAAGATGTGCAAAAATTGAATTGCTGGGAAAATACATTGAGCGTAAGGAAGACCAAATTATACGCGATCCGTATTTCGTAAGTTCAGATACTTTTCTTCTATTGAGTATATAATAAATAATATTTTCCTTTTAATAACAGAGCATTTCAATAGGCGGATTTCGCTGTGCATTCCTGCAAATTACTGAAAGTTGTCAAAATTTCATTGCAGAACATATGTACGCCGACTAAAAGGTTTCTTGTAAATAATAAAAATTGTAAAAATGTTACTTGATTTATGTACAAAATTAATTACTTAAAATTTTCGTGTATAAAAATTGTTAATCGCCACTGTTGTGTTTTATTTCATTAATTTACAGTAATAATATGTGGGTTTAGTACACATGTATGCACATATATGCCTATATATTGACTTATCGGAGTATAATTAATTAGACTAATTATATCTACATATGTATGTATATATTACACGATTTCGCCGCGCATAACACGCTCCAAAAACACATTCCAATCACTTTGCAACTGTGCATACGCAAATTCCTTCTCCGCATCACTCATTGCTGAATATTTAATGGAATTCCACACCAGACTCTTCAATGTCTTCAGACCAGCATTGCTCGGTGCAAAACTCATTATGGCATAATAGAAATCATAGCTCAGTCCCTTCGCCTCCCAAAAGCCGGGATCATCGTTAGAAATCACCATTGGTATATTCTCGGACATGAAATAGCCTGCGGGATGATTTCGCAAATCCCAAACCAAATTCAAAACTTGATTCGATAGCGGACTAATTTCCAATGCAATATCGCGGTCTTTAACGATTTTACTTAAGATCGGATGTTTCATTAGTGAGTAGCCATGCCCGATACGCGTTGTGTTGAGTAAAATGGCGTCAATCAAATTCAAATCCACCGATGTACCCAACCAATCTGTGTGGGAAAAATAAGGTAATATTTAGAACTGTTTATTTTTTCTTTGTCTCAGTTGGTTCGTCGCTTACTTGTTTCGCCTGCATGAAAGAAATACTTCGCGCTTTTCGGTAGATTCTGTAGAATGGATACAAATGCTTGTAAGGATTTGCCTTGATCCTCCTGACCGATCAAATCGAAACCCACTATGAAATCGGGATAGCGTTCACTGTAAGTAAATTATTTCTTATTAATACCGCAATCATACATTAATAAACGGTAAAAAATAGGACTTGGACTCTTGACAATTTAAAACTGAATAAACAAATTTTAGAAATTTTTTGGTGAAAGTCATTTAATATAGTTTTAGCATAGTTTTAGGCGCAATTAGCTCTGATATGATATTTCACTTAAGGTGGAGATTTGAGAAGAACATTAAGAACTTGCTCTTCTAAGTTGTACTCAAACCTAATACCGTTCATCACTTACTGGAAATCCTTAAATGTTTGGAAGGCTTTGTATATTTTAACCTCATCGGAACCACGATGCGCCACATAAATTATTTTTAAACCCAAAAAACCGGGATGTGTTTGCTTGAATTCTTCGATTAATCCCACTAATAACTCAGCTGCCTCATACTCGTTTGCCACCGTTGTGCCATTGGCGCCATAGAGCTAAAAAAAAAAATCGAAAAATTATACATTCAAATAATTTCCGCGAAAGTTTTCGATAAAAATAAAATTAAATATTATGTTTTAGTTTCTCATAACCTTTTTATAAACATTCGAGGAATTTCAAATTTTCCAAGAATTTTAAATAATTTATTTACGCTTTTAAATGTTCGTGCAGACTTTATACCAACTTGGAGATCGAAAAATCTCTAAATGTATACAGCGATGAGCGCTTTTCTTGGCATTAAAGGTGCCTTTCATAATATGTAGCCAAGAGCCGTAACGTACGCGCTAACAGGAATGGGCATCTCAGAATTCCTTATTAAATTTAGCAAATGCTTTTGGACAGGTTTATTAGGAGCTAAAACGATGTGCAGGTCTGTTCGGAGGTGTACTCTTCAGGGTGGCGTCATCTTCAATGCATAAATTATTGTTGCAACCAAAAATGAAGTCAGCTCATGTGGTAGCTTATGCAGACGATGTGGATGTTTCAGTTAAAGGAAGGTTCCGGATACCTCTACCAATAACATAATATCAAGCTATGGGTCGAATAATGTGGCTTAAGCTTAAATGCGAGCGAATGGTACCATACTATCATGAGGAGAAAAAGCGAGCTGCCTGAGACTAACACTGGGCAGAAAGATCTTATGGAAACCTAATTTAGAAGGCAGTTTAAAGAAGGCAGAAATTGGTCTTTATACATGTACATACCATGCCCGGTGGGTCTCAAATAAGACTTAATACTTCCAGTAACATATTGGCTTCATACAGCAAGCTGTAAGGCCCATTATGACTTACGGTATATTGGCTTGGAGGCCAATAATAGAAAAGAAATACGCGGTAAAGCGTATGGTAAACTTTCAAGGAGATGGTAGCATATACATATGTATATGTATTAGTGGCTCCAAAAAATTGAAATTTGAATTAAATTATTAAAACTTAAGTTTAATTTTTACAGTTTCAATTTTCCAAATATCAATTATTAGAGATTTTAAAATTTATTAAAACTTCTTTTATTTATTTTTTTTTTTCAAATTGAATTTGTTCGAAAAAGTTTAAGAAGAAATTTTCCTCTTCTTTCCACTTACCGGCTTGAATTTCATACGCAACTCAGCGTACATGATATTATCCTCGTACATCTCCTCCATCAGCTGCCAGTGGAAAAGTCGAAACATTGGCTCATACCCCACCGTATCGCTAACAGTGTCGAATATGTCTTCAAAACGCCTCCACACCCTATCCTGCTCACTGTACTCCACTGAAATGAAACCAAATAAAACCGCTAGTCCAAAAACTCAAACACACACAGCGACACTTACACTCCGGTAGACGTGAATACAAACTCATTTTAGACTGTAGAAATCTATCGTAACGGCTTCGCGAAAGTGTACGCTGGCGTTCCTCCTCCACCACATAGTACCCCGTACGACAACCATGCTTCTGTGCATTCTCCCGAAAACTGAGCACAAGACCACCGCGCGCTGTGTAGCATTTCATGAGACCGGGTGTGTAAGTGAGGTTATTGATCATCCAATCGACGGAGACAGCTGGCGTGCGATGTACATGCAGAATGGCGCCTTTCGGCATGGCTTGTATGAACTTGAAAACATTACTTTGTTCAATAAGCGGCTTAGCTTTGAAAAAGTGCATTGCTGGCGCATGTTCATGCGGATGTTTCATGCCATAGGTGAGCTCTAGCAGTTTGTGACGCATGAAAATCTGATGGACCTGCAGTTCATTTTCATCTAGTTGCAAATGGCCACCAGTGAGGAGCAGTTGTTCGGCCTCGATCATTTTTTCACGTTGCTGGACGTATTCTAATTTGAAAACATTGAAAGTGAGGTTAAGTTGGAAGAAATATTTAGTATTCTCAAAACGTTTTTAATTAATTTTTATTTTTTTTTAACGCATTGTTAATTATATTACATACTAAGTAAATTTGGCTCATCGTATAAGTGGTCAGCGGGCAGAGGCTTCTCATACAATATACCACTGACCTCGGGCTGTGGCGCCACTATCTCTTGCGGTGGGGTAGCAACACGTGCATCTAAATTTTCATAAAGGAATTTCCATGAAAAACGCGTTTAAATATTTTTCAAATTAGATTACCGCAAAAATTGAAAATTTGCAACAGCAACGGCAAGCAAAGTAGCAACGGCTGATGACTCTTTGTGGCCATATTGTGGTTAAACTTGACTAGAAAACTGAAGAAAAAATAAATTATCTTTAATCTTTTTAAATATTGTACATATTTCATATACAATATATTTTTAACTTTGGTGAGGATTCTGATTAATATTTTCGAATACTTAAATGGTAAAAAAGTAGATTTTTTATTATTTTAATTTTTCAAACACTAAAAATAAACATTTTATGTTTTATTTTTATTTTTTTACGTTTTTCATAAACTTTTGTAAGTTCTTAAATTTTATAAAATAAATCTATTTTGCTACTTGCGCGGATACAGATTATAAATTTCCCAAAGTCCAAATATTTTGTCTAGTAAAAGTAATCCATTATTTTTGCAGTAGATTGTAGATAATGGCAATGAAATAATGGAGCACTGTTTCAATTGCCCAGGGGCTAAACACGGCACAAAAAACAGTTTCTCTTTTAAAAGACTGTATACACAAAGAAGCTCGATGTATGAATGTCACATGAGTTAACCAGAAAAAAACTCGTGGATCGATTTTCCATCCGTGAAGGTCCAAATTCCTAATTGGGATCGGTACTGTCAGCAATTTGACCGACTGAAGGAAGTAATCGCTTAGATGCGCCCAGCTTTGGCAAACAGGAGGGAATTGTGTATCATCAGGACAATGTCAGACCACACATATCGATAACGACTCGTCAGAAGCTCCATGAACTTGGTAGAAAGTGATTAACATCGGTTCCTGTCTATGTCGGAATTTCGCTGGTGAAGAATTGGCCTCAAGAGAAGCCTGTGAAAATCGATTCCACCATTTTTTTGCCGTTAACGACAAGGGTTTCCATTAGCGAGGCATAAAGACCTTACCTTCAAAATGGCAAAAAGTTATCGAGCAAAACAGTGCATATTTGCTTAAATTGGATAATTTTTTAAATAAAGCCTTCTATTAAATATAAAAATAATATATTAATTCACTTGAATTTCTTAGATTTTCCTAAAGTTGTTCGTTCATTTCGTTTAGACATTCTTAAAGCTAAAAAAAATCCTGTAAAACATTTGAATTTATTTTAAAAATTTTAATTTCATTTTTGGGACCCTTAAAATTTCCATAAATATTTAATTTTAATTTATATGTTTTTGTAAATATTATTCTATAATTCTATTATTGTGTACGAGTTTGTAATTTGTTATTCCCAAGTAATCTCGTGTAATTTCTAACCTTGACCTTGAGGGAACGCTTGTAAAATGTTAATTAAATCTAATGTCCCAAGCACCTGCAAACGAATCGTATACAGGTTAATGAAAAATAAGATAAAATAAAATCAAAAAGGCCAAACCGTAAATAGGTTATCATTTCACGCACCAAAAGTATTATTTTGCCATAAACGCGAGTGCATACAAACACATGCATAAACAATTTTATGAGCTTGTAAATATTCGAAAATGATTGAGATTTACTAAAGCAATGCGCAGCAGCAAAAATACTCCTAGATGTCTTATAAGCAACTCGGCAAGATTTGAGCGGTCAATAAACTCTTCAATTGTTAGACAATTTTAATATATTTTTTATACTTTTTATAATTATTTGCAGTATGTACATAAATTATAGCACGAGTTTTGAAATTGTTTATACCGGAGTAGCAGCATTTTAGCGTAAGCGTAAACAAACCATTAAAAAGAACAGGTCTGCAAAATAGATGAATAGAATTGACTCACTCATAGAAGTGACTTAACAATTTTTTGTTATTAATGAAATTTGAAACGAAATTATAATGGGGCGTGCCATCAATGTCAAAATGTCAACAGATCTTCCACGAAACTAGGTCAATCAGAATTCATTTATTATGCAGCCATTAAATTAATATTTAAATTCATCTTTAATTTGAGTATGTGGATATATTGATTTACATATATAATATTATAAATTGTGTAGATAGGTATTTATAAATATTTATAGTTTTCATTTTTCGTCTGCATTGATAAACATCTTTTAGCTCTGTTATATGCCATTTAGAAATGATGTCACACCAATGCTGCATTTGTTAGCAATCGCATCACATCACATCCCATGGCATCAAAAAATTTGCCACACTGTACTTCGTACATATGGGTGATCATGTGTAACGCTATAATACAAATGCATATATATATAATATAATATACTGGTTTCTAAAACAATGCATGAATAGATATATCCTTTTATATCAAATCACAATGTTTCGAATAATTTTGGATTTTTTTATCGCTTACACCAAATTGAGCTAAACCCCATCATATGATTTATGATTTTATTACTTTACATCGCCAGATAGTACTGGCTGCCATCATATCACATGATATCATTTCAATCACGTCACGTCGTGTGACCTCAAATCACATCACCCTCACGTCACTTCACTTCACACGACATCATATCACATGAAATTATATGGAATTTGAGATTAAATCACATCAGATTTGAACATTATATTTTTTCACATAACATTATGCCTATTTACTGTAAGTCACATTATATTTCAATATATCATTGCACATCACATCAATTTTCTCCAATCACATCTCGCTACGTCACATCACCTCACATCATATGATATGATATCATACTACACTATATTCGTATAATTTGAAATCACAGTGCATCACTCAACACATGGCACATTGTGTAACCATCGAATTACTAAGAGTTATTGAGACAAGAGACATTGCACCAACATATGACCTTATCACTTTCTATCAAGTCATGCAAACATTTGCCCTGTACAAATAGACATCATAATAAGAAATCAACTGGTGACTTGCACTCTTTTTTTTATTTTTAATAAATTTTTTTTTCCGGACAAAAAGCACATTTTACCCCGAATTATTTTGGTTACATTTGCATATTATTTGCCGGGCATTTTTTGTTTTAGCAAAAGTTCAAGTACAAGCGTTCTTTGCAAATAGAATAAAGTGTGCACATGCCTACATATACATATACATATAGGTAATTGTTGAGCATTTAAGGGAATATAATTAATTTCAAAAATTTAATATTTGTTTTTGTTACATTTAACGTACATTTTACATACGTAAAAACTTCCAAATGACATTAAATAAAGCAGTAAAAATTAATAAATCTATATTTTACGAATGAAACCGCGATTTTGATTACGCTTAATGTGTTTGAATAGGTCTTAATTATTTCATTGCACTGAAATAAAATTTTACAGCAGAAAATGGAGGAATTCACGGTACGAGTGCCTATATATATATATGTAGATATACATATCACTTTTTTACAACTCCCTAAGCGATATCGGATATAATCGCGTTAACGGTGCCTGCGCCAATGTATTGTAGTAATAAGCGATTATGGAAAATTCGTGCAAAAGGTGGAAAATTAATTATTTATTAATTTTATTAATATTATTATTTTTTTTTTTAATTAATTTTGGAGCTACATATTATATTCAGAAAATACCTTAAACACTTCAGACACACCTAAAAAAGTCGTTTTCATTCAAGGCATTAGAAAACAGTCCGAATCAATGTAAATTATTCTCCGTGCACTTTCGATTTCCGTCCTCTGACTTAATTGTTTACAACGGAAATGCAATATTCCAGACACGAAATAAACGATTTGTTAAAGGTTTTACAAATTTGTTACACAAATTACACGATCAACTAATTAAATGTAAATGTAATCGAATTAAAACTTATTACACCCACTAAACTATTGCTGTTGTTGCAGTCAATGCTGGCAATGTAACATCGCTTGGTTGAATAAATATTTATTTTACGCAATTTTATTTTATTTACATTTACATTTATATTGATTTCGTTTTATTTACAAAATATTCAAAATATTGCTCACCTGTCGCACTACTTACATAAATTAATTAATTACTTGCGGTTGTATGTACGTATGTACGTGTATGTTGTGTCCCTCCGTGTGTTTGACGTGTGTGTTCGAACTTTCTACGAAAATCAACAACAACAACAACAACTGTCCCTCCGTGTGTTTGACGTGTGTGTTCGAACTTTCTACGAAAATGTAGGTCTGCTGTCGGCAATTGCCGTTTTTAAACTGAAAGGAAGCACCGCCGATCTCTATTGTTTCGTTTCATTTTAAATTGTTCAGTTTAGTCCAATACATTCGCGCGTTTCTCACCATTTCACGTAATCAATATTTTGTATATTTTGTATATGCATTTAAAAATATGCGGCGTTTCGTTCTTGAATTTAGTATTTCTGTGTAATTTTCTTATTCTTTTATTTCTTTTTTATTTATTTTTTGGTTTTTTTTTGTTTTGGATTTGTAGATCTGCTCACTGCTGTCAGAGCCTGTTTACATTTACATTTTAACTTTGTCGAAAATCATATTTACATTTGTAAATGCCGACAGACATATGACAAATGCACACATGTATAAAGATTTGTGTTTGTATAAAATGTCCAAGCCTTGAATGCGAATATAAATCTTGTTATTATCAAAATTTTTTCTCGCAATGAGGGTGCTCTTCGATAGGAGGATTTCGTTCTTAATTGGATGAGTTTGATGATTGCGAAAATTAGCATTAAATTCAATTTACATACACGCACATACATGGACATGTACATGTACATGGATATTTATTGTAAATAACTGTAAATTATACAATAGAAAACAAAACCGGCTAAGCTTGCGTATACTTCTTAAATGTGTGTACAAATGTATGTGTATGTGTGTGGGTGTGTGCAATACAAGTGTGGCTCACATAAAGATAAAGTTTTCCCTTAAATTTTCTTATAAACCAAAAGTGTTACTGTCTGAAAGGGGCTTTTTTTATCTGTTCGGCAGGAGGAAGTGTCAACCCCTCCAAGTGTATTTCTGACATGAAATAAAGGCTCCTCATTACTTACTTACTTTACTGGCGTAGACACCGCTTACACGATTATAGACGACTTACAACTGTGCGCCATTCGTTTCTTCTTTTTGCTGTTTGGCACCAATTGGAAATACCAAGTACAGACAGGTCCTTCTCCACCTGGTCTTTCCAACGGAGTGCAGGTCTTGCTCTGCTTCCCCCGGCGGGTACTGCATCGAAAACATTCAAAGCTAGAGTATTCGCATCCATACGGATCACATGGCCTAGCCAGCGTGGCCGCTGCTTCTTGATTCGCTGAACTATGTCAATGTCGCCGTATAACTCATACAACTCATCGTTCCATCGTCTGCGGTATTCGCCGCAAAACTTTACTCTCGAAACTCTTAGCGCCGTCTCATCGGAGACTGTCATCGTCCATGCTTCCGCACCATATGGCAGGACGGGAACGATGAGGGACTTGTGGAGTTTTTTTTTTCATTTGCCGAGAGAGGACTTTGCTTTTCAATTGCCTACTCAGTCCAAAGTAGCAACTGTTAGCAAGAGTGATTTTGCGTTGGATTTCAAGGCTGTTTCCTAGGTAGGCGAAATTATTTACGACTGCAAAATTATGACTGTCAACAGTGACGTGGGAGCCGAGTTGCGAATGCGATGACTGTTTGTTTGATGACAGGAGATATTTCGTCTTGTCCTCGTTCACTACCAGACCCATTCGCTTCGCTTCTTTATCAAGCCTGGAGATCATCTTCTCACGGGTCTTTTCCAAGGTTTGTTGCATGGTGAATATCTGGCAATGGTTGACTTACTAGGTCTGAAGCCACACTGATAAGGTCCAATCAGCTTGTTGACAATGGATTTCAGTCTTTCACACAATACGCTCGACAGGGCCTATTATGGAGACTTATCCTACTGTAATTGGCGCAGATTGAGAGGTTCCTTTTTTTATGGATTGCGCAGAGCACACTTAAACTCCAATCGTCGAGCATGTTTTTGTTCGACCATATTCTGCAAAGTAACTGATGCAGGCACCTTGTCAGCTCTTCACCGAAATGTTTGAATAGTTCTGCCGGTAAGCCGTCAGCTCCCGCCGCTTTGTTTTTTAAGCGGGCGATTGCTTTTCGAACTTCTTCATGGTCAAGTAATGGAATGTTTTTCCATCGTCATCGATTGGGGTTTCGGGTCCATCATTTCCGGATTCTCCATTTTATCTACTATTTAACCTTCACGAAGTCCAATAGTTTCGTTTGTTGCTGTGCGTAGGGAGTTTGCGATGCCGTCCCACAGGTCCCGTATACCGAGTTGCTGATGAGTGCTCTCAGAGAGCAGTCTGTTGTGATTGCAGCTTTTCAACGTCGAACTTTCCTTGTATTTGTTGACGGGCGTTCTTCAATACACAAAATAATGTCCGAGTAAATGTTGGGTCCTCGGAGAGTACGCAAGTCAAGAACACTGGATACATGTCTTCCGTCTATCACAACATGATCGATCTGGTTTTGTGTTTTTCGATCATGGGATAGCCAAGTAGCTTGATATATTGTTAATGCTAGTATCTAGTACTACAGACAACCATATTTCGGACCCCGGCGAAGTCGATCAGCCCCACAACCCGTTAGGGGATGTTTCGTTGTGAAGGCTGAATTGCCCAACAGTCAAACTAAAGATACCTTCTTTGCCCACCCTGGCCTAAAAGCCGCCAAGCCCGATTTTCATGTCGTATCGGGGTCAGCGCTTGTAACTATGCTCTAGGCGCTCATAAAAGGCATCTTTCGCCAAATCGTTCTTCTCTTCCGTCGGGGCGTGGGCGCAAATCGGCGATATGATAATGTTAAGAAAACACGTAAGCGGTGTTTCGAAACTGTGAAGACCCCAAGTCTAAGGCCTTGGAGCCTCCACAGCAACAACAACAACAACAACAACAACAGGATATATATACACGAAACATATATATATTTACATGTACATACATATGTATATATATATATATACATTTACATATATACACACCTATACATATTTACATATTTATATACACATGAAGTACCTACAAATATATATATATATATATATATTTACAAATATAAATAATTAATTATATTTTAGAGGTATAAAATTATATATATAAACATACATACACATTTGTATACATTTTAAGCTTGGCACTAGCGTAGCGAGTCGTCGCTGTTAAAGAGAGCAAAGGAGAACAGGCGATAGGCCTACCAACAAAAGGCAGTGCATAACTGTCCACCTGTAGGCAAATTTGGTATAAAAGGAGCAGCATCAGCAATGATACGACACTTCTGTTTGTGCTGTCGTAGTTAGAATATGTGGTGTGACGTGCAAACGCTGCCAATACGATACGGTTTAAGATATATGGTGTGTCGTGAAAACGCTGCCAGTAGGACGTTTGAAAATAAAGCTACCTGTGTAACGTAGAACCATTCGTGTTGTCCTTTTCTTACGCTTTTGGAAATCGAGATTATAGGAGAGACCCATAATCCGGCTGAGAGATAGCCCAGCTATAAACCGGAGAACCGGGTACGTTACAAAACTCATCCACGACATCGTGCCAGTTGCTGAATCGTAGATTTACTCGTACGCGTTCGAAAATAAACTCGCTGTGTATGGCTGTTTTTGTGGATAAACTGGGCATGTCACAACCGTTCAACTAGAAAAACATAGAACAGTAAATGGTAAGGGATACACAACCATTTTTATGCCAACCATTTGTACGCTCCCACACATCGACAGAAAAAAATGCATTTTTGAACACTGAAAACATCGATTTAATGAGTTTTCTACGATATATATATTTAGTCCTGACTTGTCACCAAGTGACTTTGTTTTACTCTCGTACGTAAAAAATAAACTGATAGGCCATCATTTTTGAACACCTGAAGCGGCAGTAGATGATGTTCAAAATGCATGCTTTCCAGATACCTCAACTAGAGTGAAGAAAATGATTCGGAAATTGGTTCAAACACATGACCCATTAATCAATTAAACTAAAATCAAACCAAATATCTCCCTATCATTTATGTATGTTAATATATTTCTTAGTAAAAAATTCACAAGCCAAATATCAAAACACTTTCCCCTTCAACACGTCACCAATAAATTCATCCCAGGCATTTTCCAGCTTCTCGAAAGCCACACGCTCCTCCTGTTTACTCAGCACTGAGTAGCGGAGAGAATTCCAGACGAGGCTCTTAAGAGTCTTCAAACCTGCATTGTTCGGCGCCAAACTCATAATGGCATAATAGAAATCATAACTCAAGCCCTTGCTACCCCAAAATCCGGGATCATCATTACAAATGACCATTGGTAGGTTCTGTGACATATAAAAACTGCCCGGATGATTGCGCAAATCGACAACTAAGCCTAGCACTTGATTAGAGATTGGACTGACTTCGATAGCCACATTACGTTTCTTTACGGCGTTCCATAAAATAGGATGCTTCATCAATGCGTAGCCGTGGCCAATGCGTGTGGTATTCAATAAGAGAGCGTCCAGCAAATTGAAATCTGTGGATGCGCCATACCAATCTGCAGGGAAAAGTATATGTAAATATAACTGAATTGTTTTTACTACCAGAAAAAATCGAAAATAATCTCACTCGTTTCGCCGGCATGGAAAAAATATTTTGCGCTCTTCGGCAGATCAGCGAGCTCTGAGACAAAATTATGCAACGGCTTGCCAAGATCCTCCTGACCGACCAAATCGAAGCCAATTATGAAGTCTGGATTCGCTATACTGAAAATACAATGTTCTTGCGTGATAAAGGATTTTCAAAAATATTTCCAAAACTTACTGCAATTGTTTGAATGTTTCAAACTGCTGAAACACACGCGGCCGTTCAACATTGCGATGTGTTGAGTAAATCGTTTTGATGCCCAAAAATTTTGGATACTCTCTGCGAAAATCCTCGACAATAACTAGTAATTCACTCACAGTGCGATCTGGCGGGAAAAGCCGACCACTGTAGTCGTAGAGCTGGCAAGTACAGAAAGATATTTAATAATCCTTTAACATCCATACAAATAGAAGCGCACTTGCCTACCTCCTTAAAACTCATGCGCACTTCCGCGTACATCAGATTATCCTCATACATCTCCTCGAGCATGCGCCGCGTATAAGCTCGGAAAGCCGGTATATAAGACAAAACGTCGCCTGTGGTGCTAAACATATTCTGGAATTTTTGCCAAACGTGTTTGATCGTTGGATAATCAGCTGTGTATAGAGAATTTTTAAAATACAATATATTTTTTGAGCTCATAAAATATCTTATTATAAAGTATTTATAACAGGTCTTATACTCACAATCTGGCTTTGGTGTATACAAGTTTATGAGCTTCTCAAAACTTCGATCATACACTGCAGGACTGATTGAACGAAAGCGTTCCTCATTCACCAGCACATACTGCGTCACGCAGCCATGTTCCCTCGGCGTACGTCGAAAACTCAAGATGCTGATACCTTCTTTGTTGGTGCAGCGCAGCAAACCCGGCATATAAGATATATTCCGCACCATCCAATCGGAGGACACGCTGGCCGAGTTGTGCATATGTAAGTTGGCGCCTTTCGGCATGAGTTTTAAAAATTTGAGCACATTACTTTTATCGACGATCGGTTTGCCCTTGAAAAAATGCAGCCCAGCAGCATTTACATCGGAATCATAGAAACCAGCGGCCAATTCGTCGAACTTATAACGCATGAAGATTTCATTTACGCGTTCCTCTTTGTCGTTGAGATGTAGGCGACCTCCAGTTAGTAGCGCATCTTCCGCTTGTATAACAGCGCGGCGGGCATCCTCATAAGCTGAGGAAAAGTAAATTTTTTAAATGC